CATCTTCTGAAGATGTGACAAACAAACTTGTCAAACAAAATTTGTGTATTCAAGAAGAAAATGTGTTGAATGTTTCTTGTCTTATCACGATGATATTACCGTCATGTTGCTACGTCATTTACACGACTACTTCATTTATTTGAATTCCTCTGCTTTCATTTCACCGAGATTCATGAACTCTTTACAAACTGACTAGTCGCAACTCACGTTAATCGCAATCACCATTAACTGGTGTTCATCCTATTCACTGGGTGACCAAACAATCGTTTAGCTATATAGTATTTCATTACCAAATTCCATGTACTGGGATATTCTGTCACACGGTGAATTCATTTCCGAGCAGTGTTATATTTCTCAACTACATTCACTTGATCACAAACAATGCTCCAACACATACTCAATTGTATTCATATTTGACCAATTTCACTGGAATAAGTATGTGCTGATTTTTGTGACATATCTTATATTAACACTTTATGGATTGTAACCAGGTGACGATAACCGAACAGACTGAAATGAACTCATGTTATTCTATGAAAATCACTAGTAATCATCACATACAAACACACATGCATTATATATGTTGAATTGAGAGGACAATGGAATCAATCAGCTGGGATGTTACATTGAGTGAACTAAACAGATACGACTGTCACAAATTATTTACAACACGATTATTTGAAATACATCAGTAATGATTCTACCGATATATCACATACAAGTTATTTAGAAATGCTTACGTTTTTCGTGTGGGATGAGTAGTGTGTCTGAAATGAGCGGGTAAACAATTAACGTGAAATATTTCATGCTATCCTATGGTGAATTCACCACAATTAAAACAGTGTTATCAATCGATATGGTTGTGATGTGACCGATGGATGATTTGACTGGAAATTCACTCTGAATTGTGTAAGATGGTTCGAAGTGAATGTTGTGTAGTGACTCACATTCATCACGAGAACACGACTGGTTTAATAAAAACAATTATTCTTATAACCAACTGTACCAGTGTTTGTTTTAATGTGCTTTTGTTTGACTGTGCTAATGAAAGCTATTTTGTGCTTCCATTCTTTTACTTACACTTTTGATTGTGACTTCGCGCGAATTCGGTTACGTTCTGTAACCAAGCTTGTATCCTGACACGATCTCGGTATCCTTTCGATGCCACGAGATCGCCAGCGAATATATCTCGATTTGGTCCATTAACTGTCTTCTGACATTTGGCTTCTCGGGGATCTTATGGATTTCTTTGGTTACGTTCGACATTCGCCTTCTGATCTACTTGGCACGTGTTCTTTGTAGCGGTGTTCATAGTCAACCGCAACTCGACGCCACGCTACAGATGCAATACAATACCTAATAGCATCCATATCACTACCTACTCGTTCTTACTGCAACTTGGATGTATACACTACCACTAGTACTAATGTGTTACATATTCAACAATGTTAGCATTCGTGCACATGTTGAATTCAGTCGAGATTTAATGTCAGTAGTAGTAGTAGACGTATTAGTATTAGCAGTTGTTGTAGTAGTAGTGGTAGTAGTAGTAGTCGATTTAGTAGTAGTGGTAGTAATAGTACTAGTAATAGTAGTAGTAGTAGTAGTAGTAGTAGTAGTAATAATAATAATAATAATTATGTGAATGGGAAAAATCTCAGAAGCATTATTTAGCATGTTTCACATCAGCTCCCACTTTTGTGTTTAGTGGCTACGAGACCGTCCTCATGTACGTTCCAATGTATGTTTAGTTGAAGTGTGAGCATGTCCAGTTGACAAATATCTCTTTCACAATACATGAACAAGTAAAGCACACTGACCGGTTGACATTCTACTGTCTATCAGAACATTGACACTGGTTGTAATTGTGTAAGTAAATACAGGTAAATATGAACTACTTACAGTGCAGTCCTCGGCGTAGTGTAATATCTGAATGAAATGTGTTAAAATTCAGGAGAATGATAGTTCGACATGTGACAGGGAAACTAAACAAGTAAATATTCAATATACAATGTTCAACGTGAACGATCAGATGTCCGTGCAAAAATAAAGCACAAAATGTGGTTGCGATCACCTATTCGACATCTTAGAATATTATTTAGTAGTTAGAAATTGAGATGATTTCTACAATAGTCGATTAAATGTTAAAAATCAGGGTCATATTATGCTTTGACGATGTTACTACAGATCGAGCGACACAGATGTGGTAATTTTTGATGTGGAAAATAATATAGAATAGAGTGATTGAAGGTGATCGTGAATTTTGTCAGATGGTTGAATCGGAGTGATAATGTTGAGGAAATCTGTGCTCGATATTGGATTGATTACATTGATGATTGAGACACAGGTACATGCTAGTGCAAACAACACGTGACACTATTACAGAACCTCAGTTTTCACCATTTCACAAATGTAAGGTCAAATAGGAATTCATATACGTCTCCAATTCACATGAAAACGATTTCACTCACAGTCTTTCGGAGTGATTGTAACCGGTTTGTCATCGATTAGCTAATCCTGTATATTAACAAGCTGTTTTCAGTTTGTTCACAGAACGAATCAAATAATCATTTCTGATGAATCGATTGTTTCTCTTGACATAACATCCCTGCTCACAAAAATACATCTTCTTCAAACCACAGACATGCTTTCTGTGAATTCTGACCTCCCACTTCTACCAGTATCCGAGCTCGAAGGACTCATACAACGTGTAGAAGAAGATCATTTGCAGTGTATGTTTATCGTAATTCAGTAAACAGTGTGGCACATTCGATGTTCAGTTTATTGAATAGACACAAGGAGTGCAGTTGATCTACACTTCAACATTGTTCTTCCAAATAGTTACTACATGGAACTTACAAAAACTCCTTATCACAGATCACAGAGCATAGTACTACAGATACTCACACAGGAAGCTCAACTAATAAGAGTGAGATCGTGTCTAAGGAAGAACGAATGTTCACGAAATTTCAATGAGAAATGCTGAAACTGTTACGACTAAAACGACAAACAAAATACAGTCGACAGAGTTCCCACTCTCATTCGACCTGGTTTTAACGGTGACAACATTGTATCAACAATAAACCGAAAATCGGAAACGGCACCGATCGAGGCGTGTCCATGTTACAGCCAAACTGATCATCTCACACAAAACAACGTGTTTCGACTACAATTCGAAATCTGTGATTACCACATTCATATTATTGCCAACTGAGTGTGTAGACGTGTATGCATCTATCAGTGGAGCTGGCTAAATTGGTAGAATAGAAGTAGTGGATAACAACTAGTTTGCAATACAAGTTCTACATAGTCTTAGTCTACACTGATTATTGATCTTCAGTAGTGAACTTTCAAAACACCAACTTGACATCAGTTAGACATCGAGTTGACATGACTAGATGTTTAAAGGTGATAAACCAACAATCGAACTCTACTCCTCTTACATCTTCTGAAGATGTGACAAACAAACTTGTCAAACAAAATTTGTGTATTCAAGAAGAAAATGTGTTGAATGTTTCTTGTCTTATCACGATGATATTACCGTCATGTTGCTACGTCATTTACACGACTACTTCATTTATTTGAATTCCTCTGCTTTCATTTCACCGAGATTCATGAACTCTTTACAAACTGACTAGTCGCAACTCACGTTAATCGCAATCACCATTAACTGGTGTTCATCCTATTCACTGGATGGTCAATCAATCGTTTAGCTATATAGTATTTCATTACCAAATTCCATGTACTGGGATATTCTGTCACACGGTGAATTCATTTCCGAGCAGTGTTATATTTCTCAACTACATTCACTTGATCACAAACAATGCTCCAACACATACTCAATTGTATTCATATTTGACCAATTTCACTGGAATAAGTATGTGCTGATTTTTGTGACATATCTTATATTAACACTTTATGGATTGTAACCAGGTGACGATAACCGAACAGACTGAAATGAACTCATGTTATTCTATGAAAATCACTAGTAATCATCACATACAAACACACATGCATTATATATGTTGAATTGAGAGGACAATGGAATCAATCAGCTGGGATGTTACATTGAGTGAACTAAACAGATACGACTGTCACAAATTATTTACAACACGATTATTTGAAATACATCAGTAATGATTCTACCGATATATCACATACAAGTTATTTAGAAATGCTTACGTTTTTCGTGTGGGATGAGTAGTGTGTCTGAAATGAGCGGGTAAACAATTAACGTGAAATATTTCATGCTATCCTATGGTGAATTCACCACAATTAAAACAGTGTTATCAATCGATATGGTTGTGATGTGACCGATGGATGATTTGACTGGAAATTCACTCTGAATTGTGTAAGATGGTTCGAAGTGAATGTTGTGTAGTGACTCACATTCATCACGAGAACACGACTGGTTTAATAAAAACAATTATTCTTATAACCAACTGTACCAGTGTTTGTTTTAATGTGCTTTTGTTTGACTGTGCTAATGAAAGCTATTTTGTGCTTCCATTCTTTTACTTACACTTTTGCTTGTGACTTCGCGCGAATTCGGTTACGTTCTGTAACCAAGCTTGTATCCTGACACGATCTCGGTATCCTTTCGATGCCACGAGATCGCCAGCGAATATATCTCGATTTGGTCCATTAACTGTCTTCTGACATTTGGCTTCTCGGGGATCTTATGGATTTCTTTGGTTACGTTCGACATTCGCCTTCTGATCTACTTGGCACGTGTTTCTTTGTAGCGGTGTTCATAGTCAACCGCAACTCGACGCCACGCTACAGATGCAATACAATACCTAATAGCATCCATATCACTACCTACTCGTTCTTACTGCAACTTGGATGTATACACTACCACTAGTACTAATGTGTTACATATTCAACAATGTTAGCATTCGGGCACATGTTGAATTCAGTCGAGATTTAATGTCAGTAGTAGTAGTAGAAGTATTAGTATTAGCAGTTGTTGTAGTAGTAGTGGTAGTAGTAGTAGTCGATTTAGTAGTAGTGGTAGTAATAGTAGTAGTAATAGTAGTAGTAGTAGTAGTAGTAGTAGTAGTAGTAGTAGTAGTAGTAGTAGTAGTAGTAGTAGTAGTAGTAGTAGTAGTAGTAGTAATAATTATGTGAATGGGAAAAATCTCAGAAGCATTATTTAGCATGTTTCACATCAGCTCCCACTTTTGTGTTTAGTGGCTACGAGACCGTCCTCATGTACGTTCCAATGTATGTTTAGTTGAAGTGTGAGCATGTCCAGTTGACAAATATCTCTTTCACAATACATGAACAAGTAAAGCACACTGACCGGTTGACATTCTACTGTCTATCAGAACATTGACACTGGTTGTAATTGTGTAAGTAAATACAGGTAAATATGAACTACTTACAGTGCAGTCCTCGGCGTAGTGTAATATCTGAATGAAATGTGTTAAAATTCAGGAGAATGATAGTTCGACATGTGACAGGGAAACTAAACAAGTAAATATTCAATATACAATGTTCAACGTGAACGATCAGATGTCCGTGCAAAAATAAAGCACAAAATGTGGTTGCGATCACCTATTCGACATCTTAGAATATTATTTAGTAGTTAGAAATTGAGATGATTTCTACAATAGTCGATTAAATGTTAAAAATCAGGGTCATATTATGCTTTGACGATGTTACTACAGATCGAGCGACACAGATGTGGTAATTTTTGATGTGGAAAATAATATAGAATAGAGTGATTGAAGGTGATCGTGAATTTTGTCAGATGGTTGAATCGGAGTGATAATGTTGAGGAAATCTGTGCTCGATATTGGATTGATTACATTGATGATTGAGACACAGGTACATGCTAGTGCAAACAACACGTGACACTATTACAGAACCTCAGTTTTCACCATTTCACAAATGTAAGGTCAAATAGGAATTCATATACGTCTCCAATTCACATGAAAACGATTTCACTCACAGTCTTTCGGAGTGATTGTAACCGGTTTGTCATCGATTAGCTAATCCTGTATATTAACAAGCTGTTTTCAGTTTGTTCACAGAACGAATCAAATAATCATTTCTGATGAATCGATTGTTTCTCTTGACATAACATCCCTGCTCACAAAAATACATCTTCTTCAAACCACAGACATGCTTTCTGTGAATTCTGACCTCCCACTTCTACCAGTATCCGAGCTCGAAGGACTCATACAACGTGTAGAAGAAGATCATTTGCAGTGTATGTTTATCGTAATTCAGTAAACAGTGTGGCACATTCGATGTTCAGTTTATTGAATAGACACAAGGAGTGCAGTTGATCTACACTTCAACATTGTTCTTCCAAATAGTTACTACATGGAACTTACAAAAACTCCTTATCACAGATCACAGAGCATAGTACTACAGATACTCACACAGGAAGCTCAACTAATAAGAGTGAGATCGTGTCTAAGGAAGAACGAATGTTCATGAAATTTCAATGAGAAATGCTGAAACTGTTACGACTAAAACGACAAACAAAATACAGTCGACAGAGTTCCCACTCTCATTCGACCTGGTTTTAACGGTGACAACATTGTATCAACAATAAACCGAAAATCGGAAACGGCACCGATCGAGGCGTGTCCATGTTACAGCCAAACTGATCATCTCACACAAAACAACGTGTTTCGACTACAATTCGAAATCTGTGATTACCACATTCATATTATTGCCAACTGAGTGTGTAGACGTGTATGCATCTATCAGTGGAGCTGGCTAAATTGGTAGAATAGAAGTAGTGGATAACAACTAGTTTGCAATACAAGTTCTACATAGTCTTAGTCTACACTGATTATTGATCTTCAGTAGTGAACTTTCAAAACACCAACTTGACATCAGTTAGACATCGAGTTGACATGACTAGATGTTTAAAGGTGATAAACCAACAATCGAACTCTACTCCTCTTACATCTTCTGAAGATGTGACAAACAAACTTGTCAAACAAAATTTGTGTATTCAAGAAGAAAATGTGTTGAATGTTTCTTGTCTTATCACGATGATATTACCGTCATGTTGCTACGTCATTTACACGACTACTTCATTTATTTGAATTCCTCTGCTTTCATTTCACCGAGATTCATGAACTCTTTACAAACTGACTAGTCGCAACTCACGTTAATCGCAATCACCATTAACTGGTGTTCATCCTATTCACTGGATGGTCAATCAATCGTTTAGCTATATAGTATTTCATTACCAAATTCCATGTACTGGGATATTCTGTCACACGGTGAATTCATTTCCGAGCAGTGTTATATTTCTCAACTACATTCACTTGATCACAAACAATGCTCCAACACATACTCAATTGTATTCATATTTGACCAATTTCACTGGAATAAGTATGTGCTGATTTTTGTGACATATCTTATATTAACACTTTATGGATTGTAACCAGGTGACGATAACCGAACAGACTGAAATGAACTCATGTTATTCTATGAAAATCACTAGTAATCATCACATACAAACACACATGCATTATATATGTTGAATTGAGAGGACAATGGAATCAATCAGCTGGGATGTTACATTGAGTGAACTAAACAGATACGACTGTCACAAATTATTTACAACACGATTATTTGAAATACATCAGTAATGATTCTACCGATATATCACATACAAGTTATTTAGAAATGCTTACGTTTTTCGTGTGGGATGAGTAGTGTGTCTGAAATGAGCGGGTAAACAATTAACGTGAAATATTTCATGCTATCCTATGGTGAATTCACCACAATTAAAACAGTGTTATCAATCGATATGGTTGTGATGTGACCGATGGATGATTTGACTGGAAATTCACTCTGAATTGTGTAAGATGGTTCGAAGTGAATGTTGTGTAGTGACTCACATTCATCACGAGAACACGACTGGTTTAATAAAAACAATTATTCTTATAACCAACTGTACCAGTGTTTGTTTTAATGTGCTTTTGTTTGACTGTGCTAATGAAAGCTATTTTGTGCTTCCATTCTTTTACTTACACTTTTGATTGTGACTTCGCGCGAATTCGGTTACGTTCTGTAACCAAGCTTGTATCCTGACACGATCTCGGTATCCTTTCGATGCCACGAGATCGCCAGCGAATATATCTCGATTTGGTCCATTAACTGTCTTCTGACATTTGGCTTCTCGGGGATCTTATGGATTTCTTTGGTTACGTTCGACATTCGCCTTCTGATCTACTTGGCACGTGTTTCTTTGTAGCGGTGTTCATAGTCAACCGCAACTCGACGCCACGCTACAGATGCAATACAATACCTAATAGCATCCATATCACTACCTACTCGTTCTTACTGCAACTTGGATGTATACACTACCACTAGTACTAATGTGTTACATATTCAACAATGTTAGCATTCGTGCACATGTTGAATTCAGTCGAGATTTAATGTCAGTAGTAGTAGTAGAAGTATTAGTATTAGCAGTTGTTGTAGTAGTAGTGGTAGTAGTAGTAGTCGATTTAGTAGTAGTGGTAGTAATAGTAGTAGTAATATTAGTAGTAGTAGTAGTAGTAGTAGTAGTAGTAGTAGTAGTAGTAATAATTATGTGAATGGGAAAAATCTCAGAAGCATTATTTAGCATGTTTCACATCAGCTCCCACTTTTGTGTTTAGTGGCTACGAGACCGTCCTCATGTACGTTCCAATGTATGTTTAGTTGAAGTGTGAGCATGTCCAGTTGACAAATATCTCTTTCACAATACATGAACAAGTAAAGCACACTGACCGGTTGACATTCTACTGTCTATCAGAACATTGACACTGGTTGTAATTGTGTAAGTAAATACAGGTAAATATGAACTACTTACAGTGCAGTCCTCGGCGTAGTGTAATATCTGAATGAAATGTGTTAAAATTCAGGAGAATGATAGTTCGACATGTGACAGGGAAACTAAACAAGTAAATATTCAATATACAATGTTCAACGTGAACGATCAGATGTCCGTGCAAAAATAAAGCACAAAATGTGGTTGCGATCACCTATTCGACATCTTAGAATATTATTTAGTAGTTAGAAATTGAGATGATTTCTACAATAGTCGATTAAATGTTGAAAATCAGTGTCATGTTATGCACTGACGATGTTACTACAGATCGAGCGACACAGATGTGGTAATTTTTGATGTGGAAAATAATATAGAATAGAGTGATTGAAGGTGATCGTGAATTTTGTCAGATGGTTGAATCGGAGTGATAATGTTGAGGAAATCTGTGCTCGATATTGGATTGATTACATTGATGATTGAGACACAGGTACATGCTAGTGCAAACAACACGTGACACTATTACAGAACCTCAGTTTTCACCATTTCACAAATGTAAGGTCAAATAGGAATTCATATACGTCTCCAATTCACATGAAAACGATTTCACTCACAGTCTTTCGGAGTGATTGTAACCGGTTTGTCATCGATTAGCTAATCCTGTATATTAACAAGCTGTTTTCAGTTTGTTCACAGAACGAATCAAATAATCATTTCTGATGGATCGATTGTTTCTCTTGACATAACATCCCTGCTCACAAAAATACATCTTCTTCAAACCACAGACATGCTTTCTGTGAATTCTGACCTCCCACTTCTACCAGTATCCGAGCTCGAAGGACTCATACAACGTGTAGAAGAAGATCATTTGCAGTGTATGTTTATCGTAATTCAGTAAACAGTGTGGCACATTCGATGTTCAGTTTATTGAATAGACACAAGGAGTGCAGTTGATCTACACTTCAACATTGTTCTTCCAAATAGTTACTACATGGAACTTACAAAAACTCCTTATCACAGATCACAGAGCATAGTACTACAGATACTCACACAGGAAGCTCAACTAATAAGAGTGAGATCGTGTCTAAGGAAGAACGAATGTTCATGAAATTTCAATGAGAAATGCTGAAACTGTTACGACTAAAACGACAAACAAAATACAGTCGACAGAGTTCCCACTCTCATTCGACCTGGTTTTAACGGTGACAACATTGTATCAACAATAAACCGAAAATCGGAAACGGCACCGATCGAGGCGTGTCCATGTTACAGCCAAACTGATCATCTCACACAAAACAACGTGTTTCGACTACAATTCGAAATCTGTGATTACCACATTCATATTATTGCCAACTGAGTGTGTAGACGTGTATGCATCTATCAGTGGAGCTGGCTAAATTGGTAGAATAGAAGTAGTGGATAACAACTAGTTTGCAATACAAGTTCTACATAGTCTTAGTCTACACTGATTATTGATCTTCAGTAGTGAACTTTCAAAACACCAACTTGACATCAGTTAGACATCGAGTTGACATGACTAGATGTTTAAAGGTGATAAACCAACAATCGAACTCTACTCCTCTTACATCTTCTGAAGATGTGACAAACAAACTTGTCAAACAAAATTTGTGTATTCAAGAAGAAAATGTGTTGAATGTTTCTTGTCTTATCACGATGATATTACCGTCATGTTGCTACGTCATTTACACGACTACTTCATTTATTTGAATTCCTCTGCTTTCATTTCACCGAGATTCATGAACTCTTTACAAACTGACTAGTCGCAACTCACGTTAATCGCAATCACCATTAACTGGTGTTCATCCTATTCACTGGATGGTCAATCAATCGTTTAGCTATATAGTATTTTCATTACCAAATTCCATGTACTGGGATATTCTGTCACACTGTGAATTCATTTCCGAGCAGTGTTATATTCTCAACTACATTCACTTGATCACAAACAATGCTCCAACACATACTCAATTGTATTCATATTTGACCAATTTCACTGGAATAAGTATGTGCTGAATTTTGTGACATATCTATATTAACACTTTATGGATTGTAACCAGGTGACGATAACCGAACAGACTGAAATGAACTCATGTTATTCTATGAAAATCACTAGTAATCAGCACATACAAACACACATGCATTATATATGTTGAATTGAGAGGACCAATGGAATCAATCAGCTGGGATGTTACATTGAGTGAACTAAACAGATACGACTGTCACAAATTATTTACAACACGATTATTTGAAATACATCAGTAATGATTCTACCGATATATCACATACAAGTTATTTAGAAATGCTTACGTTTTTCGTGTGGGATGAGTAGTGTGTCTGAAATGAGCGGGTAAACAATTAACGTGAAATATTCATGCTATCCTATGGTGAATTCACCACAATTAAAACAGTGTTATCAATCGATATGGTTGTGATGTGACCGATGGATGATTTGACTGGAAATTCACTCTGAATTGTGTAAGATGGTTCGAAGTGAATGTTGTGTAGTGACTCACATTCATCACGAGAACACGACTGGTTTAATAAAAAACAATTATTCTTATAACCAACTGTACCAGTGTTTGTTTTAATGTGCTTTTGTTTGACTGTGCTAATGAAAGCTATTTTGTGCTTCCATTCTTTTACTTACACTTTTGATTGTGACTTCGCGCGAATTCGGTTACGTTCTGTAACCAAGCTTGTATCCTGACACGATCTCGGTATCCTTTCGATGCCACGAGATCGCCAGCGAATATATCTCGATTTGGTCCATTAACTGTCTTCTGACATTTGGCTTCTCGGGGATCTTATGGATTTCTTTGGTTACGTTCGACATTCGCCTTCTGATCTACTTGGCACGTGTTTCTTTGTAGCGGTGTTCATAGTCAACCGCAACTCGACGCCACGCTACAGATGCAATACAATACCTAATAGCATCCATATCACTACCTACTCGTTCTTACTGCAACTTGGATGTATACACTACCACTAGTACTAATGTGTTACATATTCAACAATGTTAGCATTCGTGCACATGTTGAATTCAGTCGAGATTTAATGTCAGTAGTAGTAGTAGAAGTATTAGTATTAGCAGTTGTTGTAGTAGTAGTGGTAGTAGTAGTAGTCGATTTAGTAGTAGTGGTAGTAATAGTAGTAGTAATAGTAGTAGTAGTAGTAGTAGTAGTAGTAGTAGTAGTAGTAGTAGTAGTAGTAGTAGTAGTAGTAGTAGTAGTAGTAGTAATAATAATTATGTGAATGGGAAAAATCTCAGAAGCATTATTTAGCATGTTTCACATCAGCTCCCACTTTTGTGTTTAGTGGCTACGAGACCGTCCTCATGTACGTTCCAATGTATGTTTTAGTTGAAGTGTGAGCATGTCCAGTTGACAAATATCTCTTTCACAATACATGAACAAGTAAAGCACACTGACCGGTTGACATTCTACTGTCTATCAGAACATTGACACTGGTTGTAATTGTGTAAGTAAATACAGGTAAATATGAACTACTTACAGTGCAGTCCTCGGCGTAGTGTAATATCTGAATGAAATGTGTTAAAATTCAGGAGAATGATAGTTCGACATGTGACAGGGAAACTAAACAAGTAAATATTCAATATACAATGTTCAACGTGAACGATCAGATGTCCGTGCAAAAATAAAGCACAAAATGTGGTTGCGATCACCTATTCGACATCTTAGAATATTATTTAGTAGTTAGAAATTGAGATGATTTCTACAATAGTCGATTAAATGTTAAAAATCAGGGTCATATTATGCTTTGACGATGTTACTACAGATCGAGCGACACAGATGTGGTAATTTTTGATGTGGAAAATAATATAGAATAGAGTGATTGAAGGTGATCGTGAATTTTGTCAGATGGTTGAATCGGAGTGATAATGTTGAGGAAATCTGTGCTCGATATTGGATTGATTACATTGATGATTGAGACACAGGTACATGCTAGTGCAAACAACACGTGACACTATTACAGAACCTCAGTTTTCACCATTTCACAAATGTAAGGTCAAATAGGAATTCATATACGTCTCCAATTCACATGAAAACGATTTCACTCACAGTCTTTCGGAGTGATTGTACCGGTTTGTCATCGATTAGCTAATCCTGTATATTAACAAGCTGTTTTCAGTTTGTTCACAGAACGAATCAAATAATCATTTCTGATGAATCGATTGTTTCTCTTGACATAACATCCCTGCTCACAAAAATACATCTTCTTCAAACCACAGACATGCTTTCTGTGAATTCTGACCTCCCACTTCTACCAGTATCCGAGCTCGAAGGACTCATACAACGTGTAGAAGAAGATCATTTGCAGTGTATGTTTATCGTAATTCAGTAAACAGTGTGGCACATTCGATGTTCAGTTTATTGAATAGACACAAGGAGTGCAGTTGATCTACACTTCAACATTGTTCTTCCAAATAGTTACTACATGGAACTTACAAAAACTCCTTATCACAGATCACAGAGCATAGTACTACAGATACTCACACAGGAAGCTCAACTAATAAGAGTGAGATCGTGTCTAAGGAAGAACGAATGTTCATGAAATTTCAATGAGAAATGCTGAAACTGTTACGACTAAAACGACAAACAAAATACAGTCGACAGAGTTCCCACTCTCATTCGACCTGGTTTTAACGGTGACAACATTGTATCAACAATAAACCGAAAATCGGAAACGGCACCGATCGAGGCGTGTCCATGTTACAGCCAAACTGATCATCTCACACAAAACAACGTGTTTCGACTACAATTCGAAATCTGTGATTACCACATTCATATTATTGCCAACTGAGTGTGTAGACGTGTATGCATCTATCAGTGGAGCTGGCTAAATTGGTAGAATAGAAGTAGTGGATAACAACTAGTTTGCAATACAAGTTCTACATAGTCTTAGTCTACACTGATTATTGATCTTCAGTAGTGAACTTTCAAAACACCAACTTGACATCAGTTAGACATCGAGTTGACATGACTAGATGTTTAAAGGTGATAAACCAACAAATCGAACACTACTCCTCTTACATCTTCTGAAGAATGTGACAAACAAACTTGTCAAACAAAATTTGTGTATTCAAGAAGAAAATGTGTTGAATGTTTCTTGTCTTATCACGATGATATTACCGTCATGTTGCTACGTCATTTACACGACTACTTCATTTATTTGAATTCCTCTGCTTTCATTTCACCGAGATTCATGAACTCTTTACAAACTGACTAGTCGCAACTCACGTTAATCGCAATCACCATTAACTGGTGTTCATCCTATTCACTGGATGGTCAATCAATCGTTTAGCTATATAGTATTTCATTACCAAATTCCATGTACTGAGATATTCTGTCACGCGGTGAATTCATTTCCGAGCAGTGTTATATTTCTCAACTACATTCACTTGATCACAAACAATGCTCCAACACATACTCAATTGTATTCATATTTGACCAATTTCACTGGAATAAGTATGTGCTGATTTTTGTGACATATCTTATATTAACACTTTATGGATTGTAACCAGGTGACGATAACCGAACAGACTGAAATGAACTCATGTTATTCTATGAAAATCACTAGTAATCATCACATACAAACACACATGCATTATATATGTTGAATTGAGAGGACAATGGAATCAATCAGCTGGGATGTTACATTGAGTGAACTAAACAGATACGACTGTCACAAATTATTTACAACACGATTATTTGAAATACATCAGTAATGATTCTACCGATATATCACATACAAGTTATTTAGAAATGCTTACGTTTTCGTGTGGGATGAGTAGTGTGTCTGAAATGAGCGGGTAAACAATTAACGTGAAATATTTCATGCTATCCTATGGTGAATTCACCACAATTAAAACAGTGTTATCAATCGATATGGTTGTGATGTGACCGATGGATGATTTGACTGGAAATTCACTCTGAATTGTGTAAGATGGTTCGAAGTGAATGTTGTGTAGTGACTCACATTCATCACGAGAACACGACTGGTTTAATAAAAACAATTATTCTTATAACCAACTGTACCAGTGTTTGTTTTAATGTGCTTTTGTTTGACTGTGCTAATGAAAGCTATTTTGTGCTTCCATTCTTTTACTTACACTTTTGATTGTGACTTCGCGCGAATTCGGTTACGTTCTGTAACCAAGCTTGTATCCTGACACGATCTCGGTATCCTTTCGATGCCACGAGATCGCCAGCGAATATATCTCGATTTGGTCCATTAACTGTCTTCTGACATTTGGCTTCTCGGGGATCTTATGGATTTCTTTGGTTACGTTCGACATTCGCCTTCTGATCTACTTGGCACGTGTTTCTTTGTAGCGGTGTTCATAGTCAACCGCAACTCGACGCCACGCTACAGATGCAATACAATACCTAATAGCATCCATATCACTACCTACTCGTTCTTACTGCAACTTGGATGTATACACTACCACTAGTACTAATGTGTTACATATTCAACAATGTTAGCATTCGTGCACATGTTGAATTCAGTCGAGATTTAATGTCAGTAGTAGTAGTAGAAGTATTAGTATTAGCAGTTGTTGTAGTAGTAGTGGTAGTAGTAGTAGTCGATTTAGTAGTAGTGGTAGTAATAGTACTAGTAATAGTAGTAGTAGTAGTAGTAGTAGTAGTAGTAGTAGTAGTAGTAGTAGTAGTAGTAGTAGTAGTAGTAGTAGTAGTAGTAGTAGTAATAATAATAATTATGTGAATGGGAAAAATCTCAGAAGCATTATTTAGCATGTTTCACATCAGCTCCCACTTTTGTGTTTAGTGGCTACGAGACCGTCCTCATGTACGTTCCAATGTATGTTTAGTTGAAGTGTGAGCATGTCCAGTTGACAAATATCTCTTTCACAATACATGAACAAGTAAAGCACACTGACCGGTTGACATTCTACTGTCTATCAGAACATTGACACTGGTTGTAATTGTGTAAGTAAATACAGGTAAATATGAACTACTTACAGTGCAGTCCTCGGCGTAGTGTAATATCTGAATGAAATGTGTTAAAATTCAGGAGAATGATAGTTCGACATGTGACAGGGAAACTAAACAAGTAAATATTCAATATACAATGTTCAACGTGAACGATCAGATGTCCGTGCAAAAATAAAGCACAAAATGTGGTTGCGATCACCTATTCGACATCTTAGAATATTATTTAGTAGTTAGAAATTGAGATGATTTCTACAATAGTCGATTAAATGTTGAAAATCAGTGTCATGTTATGCACTGACGATGTTACTACAGATCGAGCGACACAGATGTGGTAATTTTTGATGTGGAAAATAATATAGAATAGAGTGATTGAAGGTGATCGTGAATTTTGTCAGATGGTTGAATCGGAGTGATAATGTTGAGGAAATCTGTGCTCGATATTGGATTGATTACATTGATGATTGAGACACAGGTACATGCTAGTGCAAACAACACGTGACACTATTACAGAACCTCAGTTTTCACCATTTCACAAATGTAAGGTCAAATAGGAATTCATATACGTCTCCAATTCACATGAAAACGATTTCACTCACAGTCTTTCGGAGTGATTGTAACCGGTTTGTCATCGATTAGCTAATCCTGTATATTAACAAGCTGTTTTCAGTTTGTTCACAGAACGAATCAAATAATCATTTCTGATGAATCGATTGTTTCTCTTGACATAACATCCCTGCTCACAAAAATACATCTTCTTCAAACCACAGACATGCTTTCTGTGAATTCTGACCTCCCACTTCTACCAGTATCCGAGCTCGAAGGACTCATACAACGTGTAGAAGAAGATCATTTGCAGTGTATGTTTATCGTAATTCAGTAAACAGTGTGGCACATTCGATGTTCAGTTTATTGAATAGACACAAGGAGTGCAGTTGATCTACACTTCAACATTGTTCTTCCAAATAGTTACTACATGGAACTTACAAAAACTCCTTATCACAGATCACAGAGCATAGTACTACAGATACTCACACAGGAAGCTCAACTAATAAGAGTGAGATCGTGTCTAAGGAAGAACGAATGTTCACGAAATTTCAATGAGAAATGCTGAAACTGTTACGACTAAAACGACAAACAAAATACAGTCGACAGAGTTCCCACTCTCATTCGACCTGGTTTTAACGGTGACAACATTGTATCAACAATAAACCGAAAATCGGAAACGGCACCGATCGAGGCGTGTCCATGTTACAGCCAAACTGATCATCTCACACAAAACAACGTGTTTCGACTACAATTCGAAATCTGTGATTACCACATTCATATTATTGCCAACTGAGTGTGTAGACGTGTATGCATCTATCAGTGGAGCTGGCTAAATTGGTAGAATAGAAGTAGTGGATAACAACTAGTTTGCAATACAAGTTCTACATAGTCTTAGTCTACACTGATTATTGATCTTCAGTAGTGAACTTTCAAAACACCAACTTGACATCAGTTAGACATCGAGTTGACATGACTAGATGTTTAAAGGTGATAAACCAACAATCGAACTCTACTCCTCTTACATCTTCTGAAGATGTGACAAACAAACTTGTCAAACAAAATTTGTGTATTCAAGAAGAAAATGTGTTGAATGTTTCTTGTCTTATCACGATGATATTACCGTCATGTTGCTACGTCATTTACACGACTACTTCATTTATTTGAATTCCTCTGCTTTCATTTCACCGAGATTCATGAACTCTTTACAAACTGACTAGTCGCAACTCACGTTAATCGCAATCACCATTAACTGGTGTTCATCCTATTCACTGGATGGTCAATCAATCGTTTAGCTATATAGTATTTCATTACCAAATTCCATGTACTGGGATATTCTGTCACGCGGTGAATTCATTTCCGAGCAGTGTTATATTTCTCAACTACATTCACTTGATCACAAACAATGCTCCAACACATACTCAATTGTATTCATATTTGACCAATTTCACTGGAATAAGTATGTGCTGATTTTTGTGACATATCTTATATTAACACTTTATGGATTGTAACCAGGTGACGATAACCGAACAGACTGAAATGAACTCATGTTATTCTATGAAAATCACTAGTAATCATCACATACAAACACACATGCATTATATATGTTGAATTGAGAGGACAATGGAATCAATCAGCTGGGATGTTACATTGAGTGAACTAAACAGATACGACTGTCACAAATTATTTACAACACGATTATTTGAAATACATCAGTAATGATTCTACCGATATATCACATACAAGTTATTTAGAAATGCTTACGTTTTTCGTGTGGGATGAGTAGTGTGTCTGAAATGAGCGGGTAAACAATTAACGTGAAATATTTCATGCTATCCTATGGTGAATTCACCACAATTAAAACAGTGTTATCAATCGATATGGTTGTGATGTGACCGATGGATGATTTGACTGGAAATTCACTCTGAATTGTGTAAGATGGTTCGAAGTGAATGTTGTGTAGTGACTCACATTCATCACGAGAACACGACTGGTTTAATAAAAACAATTATTCTTATAACCAACTGTACCAGTGTTTGTTTTAATGTGCTTTTGTTTGACTGTGCTAATGAAAGCTATTTTGTGCTTCCATTCTTTTACTTACACTTTTGATTGTGACTTCGCGCGAATTCGGTTACGTTCTGTAACCAAGCTTGTATCCTGACACGATCTCGGTATCCTTTCGATGCCACGAGATCGCCAGCGAATATATCTCGATTTGGTCCATTAACTGTCTTCTGACATTTGGCTTCTCGGGGATCTTATGGATTTCTTTGGTTACGTTCGACATTCGCCTTCTGATCTACTTGGCACGTGTTTCTTTGTAGCGGTGTTCATAGTCAACCGCAACTCGACGCCACGCTACAGATGCAATACAATACCTAATAGCATCCATATCACTACCTACTCGTTCTTACTGCAACTTGGATGTATACACTACCACTAGTACTAATGTGTTACATATTCAACAATGTTAGCATTCGTGCACATGTTGAATTCAGTCGAGATTTAATGTCAGTAGTAGTAGTAGAAGTATTAGTATTAGCAGTTGTTGTAGTAGTAGTGGTAGTAGTAGTAGTCGATTTAGTAGTAGTGGTAGTAATAGTAGTAGTAATATTAGTAGTAGTAGTAGTAGTAGTAGTAGTAGTAGTAGTAGTAATAATAATAATAATAATAATTATGTGAATGGGAAAAATCTCAGAAGCATTATTTAGCATGTTTCACATCAGCTCCCACTTTTGTGTTTAGTGGCTACGAGACCGTCCTCATGTACGTTCCAATGTATGTTTAGTTGAAGTGTGAGCATGTCCAGTTGACAAATATCTCTTTCACAATACATGAACAAGTAAAGCACACTGACCGGTTGACATTCTACTGTCTATCAGAACATTGACACTGGTTGTAATTGTGTAAGTAAATACAGGTAAATATGAACTACTTACAGTGCAGTCCTCGGCGTAGTGTAATATCTGAATGAAATGTGTTAAAATTCAGGAGAATGATAGTTCGACATGTGACAGGGAAACTAAACAAGTAAATATTCAATATACAATGTTCAACGTGAACGATCAGATGTCCGTGCAAAAATAAAGCACAAAATGTGGTTGCGATCACCTATTCGACATCTTAGAATATTATTTAGTAGTTAGAAATTGAGATGATTTCTACAATAGTCGATTAAATGTTGAAAATCAGTGTCATGTTATGCACTGACGATGTTACTACAGATCGAGCGACACAGATGTGGTAATTTTTGATGTGGAAAATAATATAGAATAGAGTGATTGAAGGTGATCGTGAATTTTGTCAGATGGTTGAATCGGAGTGATAATGTTGAGGAAATCTGTGCTCGATATTGGATTGATTACATTGATGATTGAGACACAGGTACATGCTAGTGCAAACAACACGTGACACTATTACAGAACCTCAGTTTTCACCATTTCACAAATGTAAGGTCAAATAGGAATTCATATACGTCTCCAATTCACATGAAAACGATTTCACTCACAGTCTTTCGGAGTGATTGTAACCGGTTTGTCATCGATTAGCTAATCCTGTATATTAACAAGCTGTTTTCAGTTTGTTCACAGAACGAATCAAATAATCATTTCTGATGAATCGATTGTTTCTCTTGACATAACATCCCTGCTCACAAAAATACATCTTCTTCAAACCACAGACATGCTTTCTGTGAATTCTGACCTCCCACTTCTACCAGTATCCGAGCTCGAAGGACTCATACAACGTGTAGAAGAAGATCATTTGCAGTGTATGTTTATCGTAATTCAGTAAACAGTGTGGCACATTCGATGTTCAGTTTATTGAATAGACACAAGGAGTGCAGTTGATCTACACTTCAACATTGTTCTTCCAAATAGTTACTACATGGAACTTACAAAAACTCCTTATCACAGATCACAGAGCATAGTACTACAGATACTCACACAGGAAGCTCAACTAATAAGAGTGAGATCGTGTCTAAGGAAGAACGAATGTTCACGAAATTTCAATGAGAAATGCTGAAACTGTTACGACTAAAACGACAAACAAAATACAGTCGACAGAGTTCCCACTCTCATTCGACCTGGTTTTAACGGTGACAACATTGTATCAACAATAAACCGAAAATCGGAAACGGCACCGATCGAGGCGTGTCCATGTTACAGCCAAACTGATCATCTCACACAAAACAACGTATTTCGACTACAATTCGAAATCTGTGATTACCACATTCATATTATTGCCAACTGAGTGTGTAGACGTGTATGCATCTATCAGTGGAGCTGGCTAAATTGGTAGAATAGAAGTAGTGGATAACAACTAGTTTGCAATACAAGTTCTACATAGTCTTAGTCTACACTGATTATTGATCTTCAGTAGTGAACTTTCAAAACACCAACTTGACATCAGTTAGACATCGAGTTGACATGACTAGATGTTTAAAGGTGATAAACCAACAATCGAACTCTACTCCTCTTACATCTTCTGAAGATGTGACAAACAAACTTGTCAAACAAAATTTGTGTATTCAAGAAGAAAATGTGTTGAATGTTTCTTGTCTTATCACGATGATATTACCGTCATGTTGCTACGTCATTTACACGACTACTTCATTTATTTGAATTCCTCTGCTTTCATTTCACCGAGATTCATGAACTCTTTACAAACTGACTAGTCGCAACTCACGTTAATCGCAATCACCATTAACTGGTGTTCATCCTATTCACTGGATGGTCAATCAATCGTTTAGCTATATAGTATTTCATTACCAAATTCCATGTACTGGGATATTCTGTCACACGGTGAATTCATTTCCGAGCAGTGTTATATTTCTCAACTACATTCACTTGATCACAAACAATGCTCCAACACATACTCAATTGTATTCATATTTGACCAATTTCACTGGAATAAGTATGTGCTGATTTTTGTGACATATCTTATATTAACACTTTATGGATTGTAACCAGGTGACGATAACCGAACAGACTGAAATGAACTCATGTTATTCTATGAAAATCACTAGTAATCATCACATACAAACACACATGCATTATATATGTTGAATTGAGAGGACAATGGAATCAATCAGCTGGGATCTTACATTGAGTGAACTAAACAGATACGACTGTCACAAATTATTTACAACACGATTATTTGAAATACATCAGTAATGATTCTACCGATATATCACATACAAGTTATTTAGAAATGCTTACGTTTTTCGTGTGGGATGAGTAGTGTGTCTGAAATGAGCGGGTAAACAATTAACGTGAAATATTTCATGCTATCCTATGGTGAATTCACCACAATTAAAACAGTGTTATCAATCGATATGGTTGTGATGTGACCGATGGATGATTTGACTGGAAATTCACTCTGAATTGTGTAAGATGGTTCGAAGTGAATGTTGTGTAGTGACTCACATTCATCACGAGAACACGACTGGTTTAATAAAAACAATTATTCTTATAACCAACTGTACCAGTGTTTGTTTTAATGTGCTTTTGTTTGACTGTGCTAATGAAAGCTATTTTGTGCTTCCATTCTTTTACTTACACTTTTGATTGTGACTTCGCGCGAATTCGGTTACGTTCTGTAACCAAGCTTGTATCCTGACACGATCTCGGTATCCTTTCGATGCCACGAGATCGCCAGCGAATATATCTCGATTTGGTCCATTAACTGTCTTCTGACATTTGGCTTCTCGGGGATCTTATGGATTTCTTTGGTTACGTTCGACATTCGCCTTCTGATCTACTTGGCACGTGTTTCTTTGTAGCGGTGTTCATAGTCAACCGCAACTCGACGCCACGCTACAGATGCAATACAATACCTAATAGCATCCATATCACTACCTACTCGTTCTTACTGCAACTTGGATGTATACACTACCACTAGTACTAATGTGTTACATATTCAACAATGTTAGCATTCGTGCACATGTTGAATTCAGTCGAGATTTAATGTCAGTAGTAGTAGTAGACGTATTAGTATTAGCAGTTGTTGTAGTAGTAGTGGTAGTAGTAGTAGTCGATTTAGTAGTAGTGGTAGTAATAGTACTAGTAATAGTAGTAGTAGTAGTAGTAGTAGTAGTAGTAGTAGTAGTAGTAGTAGTAGTAGTAGTAGTAGTAGTAGTAGTAGTAATAATAATTATGTGAATGGGAAAAATCTCAGAAGCATTATTTAGCATGTTTCACATCAGCTCCCACTTTTGTGTTTAGTGGCTACGAGACCGTCCTCATGTACGTTCCAATGTATGTTTAGTTGAAGTGTGAGCATGTCCAGTTGACAAATATCTCTTTCACAATACATGAACAAGTAAAGCACACTGACCGGTTGACATTCTACTGTCTATCAGAACATTGACACTGGTTGTAATTGTGTAAGTAAATACAGGTAAATATGAACTACTTACAGTGCAGTCCTCGGCGTAGTGTAATATCTGAATGAAATGTGTTAAAATTCAGGAGAATGATAGTTCGACATGTGACAGGGAAACTAAACAAGTAAATATTCAATATACAATGTTCAACGTGAACGATCAGATGTCCGTGCAAAAATAAAGCACAAAATGTGGTTGCGATCACCTATTCGACATCTTAGAATATTATTTAGTAGTTAGAAATTGAGATGATTTCTACAATAGTCGATTAAATGTTGAAAATCAGTGTCATGTTATGCACTGACGATGTTACTACAGATCGAGCGACACAGATGTGGTAATTTTTGATGTGGAAAATAATATAGAATAGAGTGATTGAAGGTGATCGTGAATTTTGTCAGATGGTTGAATCGGAGTGATAATGTTGAGGAAATCTGTGCTCGATATTGGATTGATTACATTGATGATTGAGACACAGGTACATGCTAGTGCAAACAACACGTGACACTATTACAGAACCTCAGTTTTCACCATTTCACAAATGTAAGGTCAAATAGGAATTCATATACGTCTCCAATTCACATGAAAACGATTTCACTCACAGTCTTTCGGAGTGATTGTAACCGGTTTGTCATCGATTAGCTAATCCTGTATATTAACAAGCTGTTTTCAGTTTGTTCACAGAACGAATCAAATAATCATTTCTGATGAATCGATTGTTTCTCTTGACATAACATCCCTGCTCACAAAAATACATCTTCTTCAAACCACAGACATGCTTTCTGTGAATTCTGACCTCCCACTTCTACCAGTATCCGAGCTCGAAGGACTCATACAACGTGTAGAAGAAGATCATTTGCAGTGTATGTTTATCGTAATTCAGTAAACAGTGTGGCACATTCGATGTTCAGTTTATTGAATAGACACAAGGAGTGCAGTTGATCTACACTTCAACATTGTTCTTCCAAATAGTTACTACATGGAACTTACAAAAACTCCTTATCACAGATCACAGAGCATAGTACTACAGATACTCACACAGGAAGCTCAACTAATAAGAGTGAGATCGTGTCTAAGGAAGAACGAATGTTCACGAAATTTCAATGAGAAATGCTGAAACTGTTACGACTAAAACGACAAACAAAATACAGTCGACAGAGTTCCCACTCTCATTCGACCTGGTTTTAACGGTGACAACATTGTATCAACAATAAACCGAAAATCGGAAACGGCACCGATCGAGGCGTGTCCATGTTACAGCCAAACTGATCATCTCACACAAAACAACGTGTTTCGACTACAATTCGAAATCTGTGATTACCACATTCATATTATTGCCAACTGAGTGTGTAGACGTGTATGCATCTATCAGTGGAGCTGGCTAAATTGGTAGAATAGAAGTAGTGGATAACAACTAGTTTGCAATACAAGTTCTACATAGTCTTAGTCTACACTGATTATTGATCTTCAGTAGTGAACTTTCAAAACACCAACTTGACATCAGTTAGACATCGAGTTGACATGACTAGATGTTTAAAGGTGATAAACCAACAATCGAACTCTACTCCTCTTACATCTTCTGAAGATGTGACAAACAAACTTGTCAAACAAAATTTGTGTATTCAAGAAGAAAATGTGTTGAATGTTTCTTGTCTTATCACGATGATATTACCGTCATGTTGCTACGTCATTTACACGACTACTTCATTTATTTGAATTCCTCTGCTTTCATTTCACCGAGATTCATGAACTCTTTACAAACTGACTAGTCGCAACTCACGTTAATCGCAATCACCATTAACTGGTGTTCATCCTATTCACTGGATGGTCAATCAATCGTTTAGCTATATAGTATTTCATTACCAAATTCCATGTACTGGGATATTCTGTCACACGGTGAATTCATTTCCGAGCAGTGTTATATTTCTCAACTACATTCACTTGATCACAAACAATGCTCCAACACATACTCAATTGTATTCATATTTGACCAATTTCACTGGAATAAGTATGTGCTGATTTTTGTGACATATCTTATATTAACACTTTATGGATTGTAACCAGGTGACGATAACCGAACAGACTGAAATGAACTCATGTTATTCTATGAAAATCACTAGTAATCATCACATACAAACACACATGCATTATATATGTTGAATTGAGAGGACAATGGAATCAATCAGCTGGGATCTTACATTGAGTGAACTAAACAGATACGACTGTCACAAATTATTTACAACACGATTATTTGAAATACATCAGTAATGATTCTACCGATATATCACATACAAGTTATTTAGAAATGCTTACGTTTTTCGTGTGGGATGAGTAGTGTGTCTGAAATGAGCGGGTAAACAATTAACGTGAAATATTTCATGCTATCCTATGGTGAATTCACCACAATTAAAACAGTGTTATCAATCGATATGGTTGTGATGTGACCGATGGATGATTTGACTGGAAATTCACTCTGAATTGTGTAAGATGGTTCGAAGTGAATGTTGTGTAGTGACTCACATTCATCACGAGAACACGACTGGTTTAATAAAAACAATTATTCTTATAACCAACTGTACCAGTGTTTGTTTTAATGTGCTTTTGTTTGACTGTGCTAATGAAAGCTATTTTGTGCTTCCATTCTTTTACTCACACTTTTGATTGTGACTTCGCGCGAATTCGGTTACGTTCTGTAACCAAGCTTGTATCCTGACACGATCTCGGTATCCTTTCGATGCCACGAGATCGCCAGCGAATATATCTCGATTTGGTCCATTAACTGTCTTCTGACATTTGGCTTCTCGGGGATCTTATGGATTTCTTTGGTTACGTTCGACATTCGCCTTCTGATCTACTTGGCACGTGTTTCTTTGTAGCGGTGTTCATAGTCAACCGCAACTCGACGCCACGCTACAGATGCAATACAATACCTAATAGCATCCATATCACTACCTACTCGTTCTTACTGCAACTTGGATGTATACACTACCACTAGTACTAATGTGTTACATATTCAACAATGTTAGCATTCGTGCACATGTTGAATTCAGTCGAGATTTAATGTCAGTAGTAGTAGTAGAAGTATTAGTATTAGCAGTTGTTGTAGTAGTAGTGGTAGTAGTAGTAGTCGATTTAGTAGTAGTGGTAGTAATAGTAGTAGTAATATTAGTAGTAGTAGTAGTAGTAGTAGTAGTAGTAGTAGTAGTAGTAATAATAATAATAATAATAATTATGTGAATGGGAAAAATCTCAGAAGCATTATTTAGCATGTTTCACATCAGCTCCCACTTTTGTGTTTAGTGGCTACGAGACCGTCCTCATGTACGTTCCAATGTATGTTTAGTTGAAGTGTGAGCATGTCCAGTTGACAAATATCTCTTTCACAATACATGAACAAGTAAAGCACACTGACCGGTTGACATTCTACTGTCTATCAGAACATTGACACTGGTTGTAATTGTGTAAGTAAATACAGGTAAATATGAACTACTTACAGTGCAGTCCTCGGCGTAGTGTAATATCTGAATGAAATGTGTTAAAATTCAGGAGAATGATAGTTCGACATGTGACAGGGAAACTAAACAAGTAAATATTCAATATACAATGTTCAACGTGAACGATCAGATGTCCGTGCAAAAATAAAGCACAAAATGTGGTTGCGATCACCTATTCGACATCTTAGAATATTATTTAGTAGTTAGAAATTGAGATGATTTCTACAATAGTCGATTAAATGTTGAAAATCAGTGTCATGTTATGCACTGACGATGTTACTACAGATCGAGCGACACAGATGTGGTAATTTTTGATGTGGAAAATAATATAGAATAGAGTGATTGAAGGTGATCGTGAATTTTGTCAGATGGTTGAATCGGAGTGATAATGTTGAGGAAATCTGTGCTCGATATTGGATTGATTACATTGATGATTGAGACACAGGTACATGCTAGTGCAAACAACACGTGACACTATTACAGAACCTCAGTTTTCACCATTTCACAAATGTAAGGTCAAATAGGAATTCATATACGTCTCCAATTCACATGAAAACGATTTCACTCACAGTCTTTCGGAGTGATTGTAACCGGTTTGTCATCGATTAGCTAATCCTGTATATTAACAAGCTGTTTTCAGTTTGTTCACAGAACGAATCAAATAATCATTTCTGATGAATCGATTGTTTCTCTTGACATAACATCCCTGCTCACAAAAATACATCTTCTTCAAACCACAGACATGCTTTCTGTGAATTCTGACCTCCCACTTCTACCAGTATCCGAGCTCGAAGGACTCATACAACGTGTAGAAGAAGATCATTTGCAGTGTATGTTTATCGTAATTCAGTAAACAGTGTGGCACATTCGATGTTCAGTTTATTGAATAGACACAAGGAGTGCAGTTGATCTACACTTCAACATTGTTCTTCCAAATAGTTACTACATGGAACTTACAAAAACTCCTTATCACAGATCACAGAGCATAGTACTACAGATACTCACACAGGAAGCTCAACTAATAAGAGTGAGATCGTGTCTAAGGAAGAACGAATGTTCACGAAATTTCAATGAGAAATGCTGAAACTGTTACGACTAAAACGACAAACAAAATACAGTCGACAGAGTTCCCACTCTCATTCGACCTGGTTTTAACGGTGACAACATTGTATCAACAATAAACCGAAAATCGGAAACGGCACCGATCGAGGCGTGTCCATGTTACAGCCAAACTGATCATCTCACACAAAACAACGTATTTCGACTACAATTCGAAATCTGTGATTACCACATTCATATTATTGCCAACTGAGTGTGTAGACGTGTATGCATCTATCAGTGGAGCTGGCTAAATTGGTAGAATAGAAGTAGTGGATAACAACTAGTTTGCAATACAAGTTCTACATAGTCTTAGTCTACACTGATTATTGATCTTCAGTAGTGAACTTTCAAAACACCAACTTGACATCAGTTAGACATCGAGTTGACATGACTAGATGTTTAAAGGTGATAAACCAACAATCGAACTCTACTCCTCTTACATCTTCTGAAGATGTGACAAACAAACTTGTCAAACAAAATTTGTGTATTCAAGAAGAAAATGTGTTGAATGTTTCTTGTCTTATCACGATGATATTACCGTCATGTTGCTACGTCATTTACACGACTACTTCATTTATTTGAATTCCTCTGCTTTCATTTCACCGAGATTCATGAACTCTTTACAAACTGACTAGTCGCAACTCACGTTAATCGCAATCACCATTAACTGGTGTTCATCCTATTCACTGGATGGTCAATCAATCGTTTAGCTATATAGTATTTCATTACCAAATTCCATGTACTGGGATATTCTGTCACACGGTGAATTCATTTCCGAGCAGTGTTATATTTCTCAACTACATTCACTTGATCACAAACAATGCTCCAACACATACTCAATTGTATTCATATTTGACCAATTTCACTGGAATAAGTATGTGCTGATTTTTGTGACATATCTTATATTAACACTTTATGGATTGTAACCAGGTGACGATAACCGAACAGACTGAAATGAACTCATGTTATTCTATGAAAATCACTAGTAATCATCACATACAAACACACATGCATTATATATGTTGAATTGAGAGGACAATGGAATCAATCAGCTGGGATGTTACATTGAGTGAACTAAACAGATACGACTGTCACAAATTATTTACAACACGATTATTTGAAATACATCAGTAATGATTCTACCGATATATCACATACAAGTTATTTAGAAATGCTTACGTTTTTCGTGTGGGATGAGTAGTGTGTCTGAAATGAGCGGGTAAACAATTAACGTGAAATATTTCATGCTATCCTATGGTGAATTCACCACAATTAAAACAGTGTTATCAATCGATATGGTTGTGATGTGACCGATGGATGATTTGACTGGAAATTCACTCTGAATTGTGTAAGATGGTTCGAAGTGAATGTTGTGTAGTGACTCACATTCATCACGAGAACACGACTGGTTTAATAAAAACAATTATTCTTATAACCAACTGTACCAGTGTTTGTTTTAATGTGCTTTTGTTTGACTGTGCTAATGAAAGCTATTTTGTGCTTCCATTCTTTTACTTACACTTTTGATTGTGACTTCGCGCGAATTCGGTTACGTTCTGTAACCAAGCTTGTATCCTGACACGATCTCGGTATCCTTTCGATGCCACGAGATCGCCAGCGAATATATCTCGATTTGGTCCATTAACTGTCTTCTGACATTTGGCTTCTCGGGGATCTTATGGATTTCTTTGGTTACGTTCGACATTCGCCTTCTGATCTACTTGGCACGTGTTTCTTTGTAGCGGTGTTCATAGTCAACCGCAACTCGACGCCACGCTACAGATGCAATACAATACCTAATAGCATCCATATCACTACCTACTCGTTCTTACTGCAACTTGGATGTATACACTACCACTAGTACTAATGTGTTACATATTCAACAATGTTAGCATTCGTGCACATGTTGAATTCAGTCGAGATTTAATGTCAGTAGTAGTAGTAGAAGTATTAGTATTAGCAGTTGTTGTAGTAGTAGTGGTAGTAGTAGTAGTCGATTTAGTAGTAGTGGTAGTAATAGTAGTAGTAATATTAGTAGTAGTAGTAGTAGTAGTAGTAGTAGTAGTAGTAGTAGTAGTAGTAGTAGTAGTAGTAGTAGTAGTAGTAGTAATAATAATTATGTGAATGGGAAAAATCTCAGAAGCATTATTTAGCATGTTTCACATCAGCTCCCACTTTTGTGTTTAGTGGCTACGAGACCGTCCTCATGTACGTTCCAATGTATGTTTAGTTGAAGTGTGAGCATGTCCAGTTGACAAATATCTCTTTCACAATACATGAACAAGTAAAGCACACTGACCGGTTGACATTCTACTGTCTATCAGAACATTGACACTGGTTGTAATTGTGTAAGTAAATACAGGTAAATATGAACAACTTACAGTGCAGTCCTCGGCGTAGTGTAATATCTGAATGAAATGTGTTAAAATTCAGGAGAATGATAGTTCGACATGTGACAGGGAAACTAAACAAGTAAATATTCAATATACAATGTTCAACGTGAACGATCAGATGTCCGTGCAAAAATAAAGCACAAAATGTGGTTGCGATCACCTATTCGACATCTTAGAATATTATTTAGTAGTTAGAAATTGAGATGATTTCTACAATAGTCGATTAAATGTTGAAAATCAGTGTCATGTTATGCACTGACGATGTTACTACAGATCGAGCGACACAGATGTGGTAATTTTTGATGTGGAAAATAATATAGAATAGAGTGATTGAAGGTGATCGTGAATTTTGTCAGATGGTTGAATCGGAGTGATAATGTTGAGGAAATCTGCTCTGAATTAGTCATTGAGATGAAAATTGACATCTCCATCTCAGAGAATAAATCTCCGTGAAATTTGTGCTTCATTTTTGATATTTGTCTTTTCGGTGACACTCATTCAATTATGCATCATTGACACATCACATCACATCTAATCTGTGTGATGTTGAGAATTGGAAATTCTTATAGTTTATTGAACACAGTTCAAATTCGAACAGCGAGTTCTGCTTCAACAATAGCTTCTTCTCAACATATCAATTATTGTTGATGTAACTACACTTTTTGATTGATGGTTATTTGAGTAGAAATGGAACAATACACCATCATGTTATTACATGTAGAACTGTGTACTTACCTTGGAGTTGAGGTCACATGGTAATGCCTAAACGAAAACGCGCAATGGGTTCATGAAAATAATAGTCTGCATGTTATACATTCACAATATTAGTATGTGTTGGACGAAGTCGTCTGACGAATTGACGATATGATCACTTATGTATCAAGTGAATGAACATCATTGTGAATTGTGTTAGATTGTTGATGATGAGTGACAGAATTGTGTGGACGAATTTTGTTCGTCTGTCTGTGAGTTTCCAGGTATCTGATAATCAACACTCGTTCTGTAAAAATCTAACAACAATATTCCTCAATGTGTTCGTTTGTCAGACATGAGGACCTTGGTGCTTGTTCCATGTAGTTGTGAATTGAACGTTTACAGTTCGTGGATTCATCGTATTGATCGTTGTAAATGTGTGACATGATAATTCTTATTGATTCAAATATACACTGATCACTTAGTATTGTTTATTGTAGTGAATGAAAATAGAAGACTGTCATATTTGATACGTGTGAATGCATTTTACTTACCTTGCAGTTGTTTTTGCTGCTTCTTCTGCTGTTGTTGCGGTGTGGTGAGTCCTAAATGAAGTGTGTATTAAAATTGATGAGTATGTTCCATTAATCGAACAGTTTGTGGAATAATGAGAGTAATAACAGTGACAATAGCAATAATAATGATCAATAATATTCAGAATGAGTTACAATGTGATGTGTGTGATTGCAATCAACATGTTTCTAGAGATTGAATGGTGCTGGCCGATGAATTTGAGATGTGATCAGTTGAACGTGTATTCGGAAATTTCTATGAGGCACATGAGATTGTTGTTTGTGTGTAGAATCTTTCACTGACGTTTTGTACTGTATTCTGTATGCGTTTTCCTTTTCATTGTGTTTTTATTTTTTATTAAGTTGAATTTTGTGTTTTATTTTGCTTTCTTTCAGATTTTTTTTTGTCTTTCTTCATTTTAGTATATACTACTAACACGTTACGATCTTAGTTCTTTTAAGTTTATGGTAATAAAAGTAATATCTTTTGAATTCACAGTACTTACGTCGTTTGCACATCATGAGTAGTTGGGCTGAAATGATCAATGAGAATGATTTCATGTAATGTATTCATGATAAGCATATGGATGAATTTTTTTCTAATTTGGTTGATTATTAATCATCTACTAATGATCTGTAATTCATTAAATGATCAATATTATCCTTCAATGTTTATTTAGTCGATAATATAAGTTTTCTTCTTGTTTGTTCTATGTATTTGTAATATGATCTGCAAAGTTCTCAAGTTTCTTCTTTCACACTGTTTTTAAATATAACGCACTGACTGGTTAACATGTTATTTACATTTCTTCGACCATGTCTGTTGTGAGATATCAACTCACTGAAGACAATGGTGTACGGTGGCGCAACTTCGTGGATTGGTTAACGTTAGACATTAACAGCGTTGGATGCCGGTCGGCTTAGTGGTCTAGTTGGTTAAGCGCCTGGCGCAAGACTGGTAGGTCCTGGGTTCGGGTCTCGCGGGGTGCGGGACCGTGGATGTGCACTGTTGGGGAGTTCCATATTAGGACGAAACGGCCGTCCAATGGTTCCAGGTTTTTCATGATGATCTAGCTTCAATTAACTCATGATTTCAATCCGTGAAATTTCTTCAATAGCAAACTTATAATTGTTACGGTGATGTTACGATTGTATCGTTTATGCTTAAACTAATTTAGTCATTATTTATCCAAGTGATTGATATTTTAAAAGATAAATCTTTATGTTACTATGTAATCGTTCCTATAATTATCACTGTAATACAATTAAAACCAGGCTAAAATCAAGAATTAGAATTTGACAGTATAGGAATGTGGAGATTGTTAAGTTTATGATTGAGATCAAGAGTCGATTAATGTTAGATCACCATTGAAAATTTGGAAGCACTGGATGGTTGTTTGTCAATCAAAAACCTAAAAATCTCAAAAACCATTTACTGTTAATAATCATCACTTGCGCACTAGTAACTAGCTTCGTGAGAGAATTCTCGGAGTTCTAGTGTGAATTCGTGACCAGTGGAGCTAATGTGTGTTAGTTAGAGACAGTATTGACCTCAGACAATGGAAGATGGTCATGCAATTTCGTCGATTGGTTGAGGTTAGAAAATTATTGAATATAAAAATGTAGGATTCTGTGAATCAACGCTCAGTAGTGGATTTTACCCATTTGAAGGACAAGTTTATATACTTATGTCGACTAGTTATCATTAACAGTTTTCACTTGTATATAGGTATCAATGCCAGTGTTGGACTTGATAGTTTCAAATAAATTGAGCATTGAATAAAAGGTTTATAATAAATGTATTTAGTTTGTTATATCCCAATGAGTAGAAGAATTGTATTTCTGACGTTTCGTAACTCAATGTAAACCACTTCTTTATAGTTATTTATTTACTCTGAAGAAGCACCTTATACTAAGTTGCGAAACGTCAGGATTATACTTTTCCTCCCCATTGGGATATAAAAGACATATGTATTTATTATTAGTTTTCTCTTTTGTTACCTAACACTCCAATGATCAGTTGTTACGTCCTAGCTAATTCAATTATAATCAAGTAACATTGATTTTATACCCAATCTATTAAGTGAATATAACCAGCTTTAATTTATTTATTACTTCTCCTGAAATCATATTGATACAAATACTATTGAGGTATCACGTCCAAATTATTTTGTAGCTCTAACTTGTTCCATACACATTGAGAAGTGGGATTAAAATCAACAAGTGAATAATTAACATGGAATCATGTTATGTTATCCAATCATGATCATACTGTAGTGAATGAGAACTGATCTGGAGACAATCGATGTATTTTGATATCGAATTACAAAATCTCTTATTAAAATATGGTAACCATACATTAAATACTCTATTTGACAAATTTCCATCATTTGTCCTTCACATTCTGTATGATTCGCCCAATTCCAGTCTAATCTCTTCAACTCGATCTTCTTAGCCTGCTGCTGCTGCTTCCAGGTTTTCCAATTCCAACTAGTGTTACATACTAGTTATATTTATTGACATGTGTAGCGTACATCACCATATCACTACAAACTGAATGCTATCTTTCAATGATACTACAATGTCACCGTTAAACCAAGTGATTAAGAATTCTTTCAGAACTTTTTAAGATGTTTGAATATGGAATGATAGAACTGAATTGATCGAAGTTTCATACTTATTGATATCAATCAGTCACTACTTCAGTAATTGAATAAGGTCACATTTCAATCTGTATTTTATCGAAACATAAATATTGTTATAGTCATTAAAGCTTGATTATAATGTCAACTTCAGAGGTTGTATATGTATATAAATACATATTCTTCAATATGGACATATATTCTTGTAAATATATTAATCAATGTGTAGTGGCTTCGCTTCATCCATCAACCACCCATGTAATCATTACTACATAGATTCCAACGGTGTTTGAACTCAGAAAGTGGCAATAAGAAGCAGCGACTACAATTTATTAGCCAATAGCACAAATCACAAAGCTATAAGCACATCAAGTGAATTTGAAGCAGAGTGGCGAATGTGTGCGTGTATATGCGAGCAAATACAGAGGCAAACTTATAGTCAAATCAAATAAACGCATAGCAAGGCAAAGCAAGGGCAATTAATAGAATTCAAGTACATATATAAACATCGGAATATGAATATGACTGATTGAGTAAGATTTAAGCGATCAACATTTTAGCTAGAGTCTCCCATGTGATCGACAGTACACGTTTCTACAAACAAGATAGTGATCATAGTAGAACAAAGAAATACGCGAATGGTTACCGTTCGAATAATATGGTCTGTTCAATAAGTTAATAAAATAGCTTAACCAACATTTAACCGTAACCGAAATGGACTGTAGAAAAGTTACTATAACTAACTAAAATATACTGATTATTTGGAATAAAGAATTCAGTGGAATCATCCAGTTATTAACATTTCTAACTTACTGTTTAATAGTAGTGTTGGTGTTACTTTGAATAAAAATTGAATAATTTAAAAAAACTATAAAAATCATACTTTAAACAATCATAATGATTTTGCTTGAAGTTTCTAATGTCATTCAAACTATATTGTAATTTAATAGTTGAGATCATGAGTCAATTGAATCTAGACAACTATGCAAAAAACCTGGAAACACTGGAAGATTGTTTCGTCCTACTATGGTACTCCTCAGCAGCGCCCACGGGATTCAAACCCAGGACCTATCGGCCTAGCGCAAGAACGCCTAACCCATAGACCACTGAGCCGACTACCATCCAACGGTGTTAATGTCTTACTTCAAACAATCCACAGAATTGAGCCACACGTCCATCATCGTCTTCAGTGAGGTACTATCTCACAACACACATGGTTGAACTCCACTGGTCACGGCTTCTTGCTAGAACTCCAGGAAATATATCTTGAAACCAGTCACTAGTGAGCATATGCTGATTAATATCAGAAAGGGGTTTTTGTGGATATTTTACTAATCATGGAAGATATTACTGGCGTTGTGATCTACTTAACAATCAATGGTTTAAATAGTCTAAGCTAATAAATGAACACTGAAATTCAAATTCATTCGGCTAACGAGTTTCAAAATAGGACCGAAAATTTCGTCCTGGACTCTACTACCAGTCATATGTTAAATATAATCTCTAATTGTTAAGAAAAGAGAGCTTCCTTTTATTATACAATCATTTCAATTACCCTTAAACACTGTAGTACACAATGTGTGTTTTGAGATGGTGGAGAAGATTTGTAGTTCCGTGAGTGTGTGTGTGTGTTTAAATTGCTTTATTAAATGACCATCAAATATAAATGACAAGCAAGTTCATTTGACTTAATACGTAAACTTCAGTCATACATATTTAGAATCGCATTATTTAACCCATGAACCATGTATCCTACACTTAAATGTTGAGCTATCTATTTATTTAATACTGATTACTGATTAATCAGTATCAGGTAGAGACAGGTATCTATCTCAGTACAATAGATGGTCTCGCAGGTGAGGGGATTGGTTGAGGTTAGACGTTAACACCATCGGATGTAGGTTCAGTGGTCTAGAGTTTATGCGTTCGCGCGCGACACCGGAGATCCTGGATTCGAATCCCGTGGAGCGAGATCATGGATGCACACTGCTGAGCAGTCTCACAGTAGGACGAAACGGCCGTCCAGAGCTTCCATGTTTTCAGTGGTGTCCTAACATCAATCGGTTTATGATCTCAACCACATACTGAATACGTTTATTTCATCATCAAGCTGACGCTAATTTGAATCACAAAAGAAAAAGCTTTAATCAAGACACCTATTTGATGAAATAGGTAAATGTTAGCGTATAATAACAATTATTTACAGAAGAAATTTCAATAAATCATTTAAATAAATAGAACCCAAACATTCTACTCACTGGAAATACCTCGGTGCATCTCTTTGACCTACACATAAAAACGTATGTAAATTATAAATGTATTTCAATATCATGTGAAAAACAAAATAGTTGTCAATAAGAAGAAGTTAATACGCTGGTAAATTTTTATATAACAAATACAATATTCATAAAAATAACATGCAAAGATCAATAGTGGCTAGCCGTGGAATTTATGACACGGGTTTCGTCCAGAGTTGACGTTCACTCTGGGACTCGAAACCATTACCATTCGCTTCAAATGCCATCTCGTTATCCACTTAGCTACTCAGTCCTGATAGCCACTAGTTTATGCAGTGGAGTGAAGTTTAAATTCATTTTGTATTGGTTGTTTGAATCTTCCCATGGATGTTTAGAACCTTAATTGATCAGTTTCTTACTAGCATATGTACATCCTGTAAGGATTGTTTCAATATTGCCTCAATTCACAAGCATTATAAGCAAATATGGTTGGTGGCTAGCCATGGAATTCAGAACACGCGTTTTGTCTTATTCGGGCTTCGTCAGTCGAATGTACTTGCATCTCAGAGTTGATGTTCACTATGGAACTTGCGTCCTGGATTCCACTGCAAGCAACAAGCACAGTATACACATATGCCAATAAGAAACTGATCAATTGCAGTCTTTAAACATCACTGGGAAGATTCAAGTAAACAATACCAAGTGAGTTCATAAAAATATATTCAAATGATTGAAACAATCAAGTTGAAAGTAACTCACTAATTTATAAGACAGATAGTCAAATTCTGAGTGAATTTCATGGTATGGTCTACTGAGTTTTCGTAACTATTAAATTTCATTAAAATCACATGATGATCTAAGTTAATTAACTGCTGAAAAATTGTAAACACCAGACAACTGTCTTAACATTGTATGGGTATCCTCAGAAGTACTCATCAACGACCATACAACCCGGAATAGAGTTCAGGATCATTGGTCTCACACGTGAATTCCTAATCTCTCATTAACTATGTCCTAAGCTTTGAAGTATGTTTGTTATTTTGGAGCTAAATATACTATTTTCAACGACCACCAAATCGATTTCAGAAATATCAAAATATTGCAAAAGTTTTCCTTGCAATTACAAAGAAAAAAAGATTAGATGTAGCGTTCTATATAATACTTAATCCTACTTCTCTCAATAGAAAAGAAGGCCTTACCATACATCCTACTTGGACTATCTATCCGAACCAGCTAGTCCTATCGACTACCTCCAACTACCATCTAATTTCACAATAGTGCCCACAATGTCAAGTCACCTAGACTGATGGCCACATTGCAACATGATCGATAGCATTCGATCTGCATTAATAAGGACTTGACACACATGACATTGGTCACCACCCAGTGATCAACCAATTGTGATTACATCTCAGTCCTACAGGAGGTCGGTCGTGGCTCGGATGGCTTAGTGGTAACGTCTCTGACTGTGAAGCTGGGTGACACGGGATCGAATCCGCCAGGGAGCACCGGTTCCCTCAAGATTACAGGTACGCCTTGTTGACGAGTGCCAAGTAGCACGAAACCCGGGTCTAGGGTCTCCTGTCGACTACCTCCAACCACCATCCAGCTAGTCCGATATTATTCACAATTCACAATATTATCTTACAAATTAAACTATATCCTTTCTCACTATCAGGGTCACACATTTTTTATCCTTAACAATGCATACATACATACACACAAATTTACATACATGTCACTTATGAATCATTTTGAGTGAAATGACATGACATTGACTTGTTCAGACCTGGTTTTTTTTATTGATCGCATATAATATTCTTGTACTGTTCCATTGTACTTGAATTAATTTTGATTCGGTTAATTATTTACTCCGAAGAGGTGAATTAAACTAAGTTACGAAACGTCAGAAAATCTAATTTTTCTACTTATTTGAATATTACTAATATACTTATTTATACTATTTATCTGTTTGAATTCAAAACAAATAGATGGATAACAAAACGAATAATTTTATAACCATTCTATAACAGTAGGAATATTATTAATAAACTTCAACCTATATAGTGCTAAGAACTTTATAGACATTGAAATGATACCTAGTTGCGCTGTAATGAAGAAGAGCAGGAGTAGGGAAAATCGAATGTATCTAACACGAAATTACAGAGCATCTCACTAAAATTTGAGAACCATATAGTAAATAGTTAATTTGCAAAATATCAATCTATCGTCTCTGATTTCATTCTTCCTGCGTTTTTATATTAATTGTTTTCCGTTCCCGTTCTTTCCTTCTCGAACTTCTACTGAAATATCTTCTATGCCTGACCACTATCATATACTACTTATATGGATATAAGTAACCCACATCATAATATCAGTACATCATTATATTTTGTATTTTAAGTCTATCTAATAAGTCATAATCATTATGAATGTTTCATTCTGATCTCATCATTTTGTTTGTTCCCTAATTGATAAAGTATAATGTTTGTCAATAGAAAAATTTTTCAATGTATCAATAATGTTTTGACTTACCTTGACAACTGTCTAATGTCACAATCCCTATGAATACAGACACAAAAATCAATGTGAATTTAGTCAACATAATGAGGTAATATCTAACAAATGAATTACTAAGGTATTTATAGGGTTAATTATTGAATAATATTTGTAAAGTAATTTCATATTGAGTACATTGAAATATGATATTCATATATATATATGGATAATTAAACAAAAGAATGAATGAATAAATAAATGTTAGTTCATATTTACATTGATTGTTATTATCATGTTATTTAACTTGGAACGAATTCATTTTGTATAATGTACTGTTATAGTTAGTATGATTACTATTACTATTATTAGTATTGTGGTGTGAGTTACTTATATCCATATAAGTAGTATATGATGGTGGTCAGGCATAGAATATATTTCAGTAGAAGATCGATAAGGAAGGAATGGAAACGGAACGCAATTGGTATGAAAAAGCATGAACAATGAAATCTGAGACAATGGATTGATGTTTGCAACAGGAACAGTCAAGTTTAAGATGATGGATTGATATTTTATTGAGATGCTCGGTAATTTCGTGTCAAATACATTCGTTTTTCCCGACTCATGTTCTTGTTCACTACAGTATTACTGTTATTATTATTATTATTGATACTACTGTTGTGAACGGAATCATAAGTGGGGATAATCGTATATTTTTCATTGAGATTATGAAACGATTGATGTTAGACCACCATTGAAAACCTGGAAGCACTGGATGGCCTTTTCGTCAATCGGTTAATGATCTCAATCAAAAACTTGATAATCTTTACAACCCTATAATGATAATGATCATGTGCTCACTAGGGACTAACTTCGTGAGGGAATTCTCGGAGTTCTAGTAAGAGTCCGTGACCAGTGGAGCTAATCTGTGTCGGGTAGAGACAGGTATCTACCTCATTACTATAAAAGATGGTCTCGCAAGTGTGTGGATTAGTTGATGTTAGACAATAACACCGTTGGATGCCGACTCAGTGGTCTAGAGGTTAAGTATTCGCGCGCGACACCGAAGATTCTGGGTTCGAATCCCGTGGGTAGGATCGCGATTGCACACTGCTGAAGAGTCTCACAATAGGACGAAACGGCCATCCAGTGCTTCCAGATTTTCAATGGTGCTCTAACATCAATCGGTCCATGATCTCAATCAAAAACTTAATAATCTCCACAACCCTATACTGATGATCGAATGCATTTGGACACAAAACTATAGCACATCTTAGTAAAATCTGAGAACTATACAGTGAATACTTAATTTGAAAAATGTCAAGCAGTTGTCTTAAACTTGACTGTCCCTTTCGCATTTATCAGTCAATCATATCAGACTTCATTCTTTTTGCATTTTCATATCAATCGTTTACTGTTCCCGTTCTTTCCTTCTCCACCTTCTTCTGCCAGATATTCTAATCCTGACTATTGTTATATACTACTTATGTCAATATAAGTGGCACACACCACACTACTACTACTATTATGACCATTATTATTCTTACTACTGTTATTATTATTACTAATATTATTATTATTATTATTATTATTATTATTACTATTAGTGGTTTTATTCAATATTATAATTTTGGTACAATATAGAATTCTCAGCACAAAATCTTTCAACAAGTTTCCGTTTCCTATTACTTGGTCGATCCAGATGGTAAATATTGGGTGATCGCCAGTTAAATGTTAGCAGTTCAGGAATAGACATTTGAATAGTGTAAATTCTGTTCGATGCATATTGACATCCACCACAATGTCTCTGATTGTACTTTTTTGTAACTTGTACAGCGAAAGGTCGTAAACTTTTCACAAACACACTTGAATAGGTTATGCAATTAATTGACATAATGATATGTTAGAATAAATAAGGAAACATATAACTTCATGAAATATCTAGATAGTAGGGATAGTCACTTCAGATATTCAATTGGGCCACCTTTTGTTAAAGATGAATTGTTGAAACTTGATCTATTATATAAAGGATGAGAAACAAACATAGCCATAGAACCTCACGATCGAATGCCACCTTAAGGTCGAGAAATACCACTATTGTGGGATGTCTGAATGTGTGTCTATGTTCTAGGACCTGACGTAGTGTGAATATATGGTCTATACAACCACGTCCAGGTCGAAAACCGGCCTGGTTTTCTCTAATCTGCTATTCACGAGCATTGGTTAGACGTCGAAGTATTATTGAAGCTAATATTTTAGACACTATATTGGTCAAACTGATTCCTCTGTGATTGTCACAGGATGACTTTTGTCCTTTCTTATAGACTGGCACAGTGATTGAGATCAGTCAGATGGGATTGCGTCCAGTTCCCAGATTCTTCCTAAGATCTCAGTCAATCTCGCTGCTAATACTAAACCGCCATTCTTAAAAATCTCAAAGGTAAACCTGTCAGGTCCTGCTTTTCTCCCATGCTTCAGATTTCCCATAGCTTTTTCAATTTTGTAAAAAGTTGCAGGATTTACATCAACTTGCCATTCAGGTTGAGTGGAGATCGTGGGAAACCGAAGTGTGGCTGAAGGCCAGTTAACTGATCCCTAAAGTGTTCTGCCCGTCGATCCAATCTCCTGGATTGAGAATGAATAATAAGAATAAGACATTTGATTAGACGTTAAGATAACGACTTCTTTGATTCGTCATAAAACAGAGGGACAAAGGTCGGATCGAAGACACATACACTAATGAAATTTTTATTTCTCCTTTCTATGTTCAACCAATATCGAAGTAAGAACCTTCAATACGAACATCAAGACAGTCGTATACTGTATGGAGATGAAACTTGGAGAACTACAACAACCATCACCAAAAAAGTACATTTATGTATAAAAAATTTTCTACGCCATTGGCCGAAAATCACCAGAAACACCCTACTATAAGAGAGGACAAACCAGCTTCCATTTGAAGGCAAAATTAGGAAAAGACGTTGGAAGTGAATAGGAAATCATCAAATTGCATCATAAGGTAAGCGCTAACTTGGAATCCTGAAGGGAAACGGAAAGTAGGAAGGTCAAAGAATACATTAGAATCAGATATGAAAATGATGAATAACAACTGGAAAGAATTGGAAAGGGTGGTGGGTGGCCTATGTTCCTAGACGATAGGTAACAGGCATAGGTAAGTAAGTAACTTTCTATGTTCATCTTTATCAACACACACCTTTTTAATGGTCGGCCTTTCGATATCCACCCTTATTATTGTACACCCTTTTTAAGCGTGCATTGTTTCATACTCTCTTCTACTAACGTCCTTGTTAGTGTGAACCATAATCTCCAGGATACATTTAGATATCTATTTACACAAAATTTTAAGTATTGATTACATGATAAGACATAAACAATGAAAAGACAATGATGACATAACAGAACACTAATAATAGTAGGTTAATATAATGTAAATAATTACAATATTAACACTTTGTTTACACATAACAATCAACAAAAATCAAATTTCACGATTGTTTATTTAACTTTACAAAGAAAACAAAAACAAAATAAGAATCAACAACAACATTTTCTCTGATCAACAAAACGTTTTACAACAATCTTTGCTGATATTTTTTTTTATAATTGTGATAACGGTTGGTTTTACTTCTCCTTTACGAATGGGACGTCACTTTACCTTAGATGAATATATATATGTATAGTAGATTTCCTCCTAGTGCCTATTCTTTCTACAGCACTTCAACACAATTCAGATCAAGAACATGTGATGATTAGCCTGACTAGAACGTAAGTGTATTTCCATACCAAAAACTGATATCACTCCGACACAATCCAATAATTGTAAGGATAGGATAATATATAAGTCATCTAACTCCTGTCAGACTATCGGAAAGTCTGATTAAACAAACAACCAATCATTATCATTTTCAACCACACATCAATAGTATTACTTACTTACGCCTGTTACTCTTTGTGAAGGAGCATAGGTCGCTCACCAGCATTCTCCATCCAACACTCTCCTGGGCAATCCTTTTCAGCTCTTTCCAGTTGTTATTCATCATTTTCATATCTGATTCTATTTCCTGACGTAGTGTGTTCTTCAGCCGTCATCATTTCCGTTTCTCTTCATGATTCCAAGTTGGCGCTTGCCTCATGATGCAGTTTGGTGGCTTCCAAAATGTATGTGCTATCCACTTTCGACGTCTTTTCCTAATTTCTTCTTCAGATGGAAGCTGGTTTGTTCTCTCCCACAGTAGGTTGTTGTTAATGGTATCCGGCCAATGGATGTCGAGTATCTTGCGTAGACAACCATTTATAAATACTTGTACCTTCTTGATGATGGTTATTGTAGTTCTCCAAGTTTCAGCTTCATACAGTAGAACTGCCTTGACATTCGTATTGAAGATTCTCACTTTGATATTGGTTGAAATTCGTTTTGAGTTCCATATGTTCTTCAATTGTAGGAATGCGGCCCCTGCTTTGCCAATCCTCGCCCTTACGTCTGCATCTGAACCTCCTTGTTCATCGATGATGCTTCCTAGGTATGTGAAGGATTCTACATCTTCCAGAGTTTCGCCATCAAGAGTGATTGGATTGCTGTTCTTCGTTTTGAATTTGAGGACCTTGGTTTTCCCCTTGTGTATGTTGAGGCCTACTGATGCAGAGACTGCTGCTACACTGGCTGTCTTTATCGGCATTTGTTCGTAAATATGCGATAGGAGGGCTAGGTCATCTGCGAAGTCCAAATCGTCTAATTGGTTCTGAGCTGTCTATTGCATTCCGTGTTTTCCTTCAGATGCCGCGGTCTTCATAATCCAGTCGACCACCAGAAGAAAGAGGAAGGGAGAGAGTAGACAGCCTTGCCTGACTCCGGTCCTTAGACGTGTGTATGTACTTATTCCTATAACTATATATATGTCTGTTCTTTTTGAAATTAAATTTATCAAACAGATGAACACAAATAAATACAGACGACAAGTGTTCAACAGAATAAGATGTGTCATAGATTCACTGATAGTGATTCTATATCTACTCTATGAAAATTATTAGGTATAATTGAATACATCTGATTATTTACTTCTTATTTTCACTTTATTAATTGTTCATTACCTTTGGAAGAACTAACGTTTGTTAAATACTAAATGAATAATGAAATTAATCCATTTGTAATAT